TTAAGTCTTTGCAACAATTTAATATTTGTGAATAACCTTTTCAAATGATTTAGTATCTTTAGATAAACTTTTCAAAAAATTTCATATATTGAAAAAATATTTTACCATATTGCTATTTTTATAGATCTATTGAAATATAATTATTTATTTAAAAAAAAAATATATATATATATATATATATATATATATATATATATATATTAATATTTAGAGAAAGCTATTTTAAAAGTTTAGCCAAAAAAATCATTTGAAAAGCTTATGCAAAAATATTAAATGGGGCTTTAATTGTTAAGAATTCAAAGTGAATTTCAAGATTTAGACCAAGCAAACCAAACGGAATAAGAGCTTTTTTTTTTTTCTATTTGTTATTTTTGCCTAAAGCCTAAAAGTTTGAATTCACTTTTGTGACACTTCATACTTTCTTAAAGGGACACTATAGGCACCCACACCACATTATCTAAATCACGGTTGCCCAAAAGGTAGATCCCCAGATGTTTTAAAACTATGACTTCCATGATGCCTTGTCATTATAAAGGCATGCAAAGACCCGCAAAGCATCATGGGAGTTGTAGTTCTTCAAAATCTGAGTATCTACCCAGGGCTGGAGTGGCTCACAGGGAGACCGAAAATTTCCCGGTGGGCCAATTAAGCTTGGGCTGGCCAGGGGCTGCAGCAGCTGTAAAAGGTGTTTTATTTTTATTTATTTATTTATTTATTTTTAATTGCTGGGTAGCTGTGAGGAGCACTACCACATGGTCGCTGTTCACAATGACCTCATATCCCGGCGGCCGGCAATCAGTGCAAGCAGGAGAGAAGCCTAGTGACCGCTCTTACCCAGCTCCAGACATGCAGATCTAATGATGACCCAGGAAATCATTGGGAAGCAGCAGGTAATGGTACTGTGCAGAGGGAGAATCTGTAATTTGTTTATGTATGTGTCGATGTTAGACATGTGCATTCGTTTTCGTACGAATACGATTTCGTCTGAAAACAGTTTTTTTTCGTGTTTGTTTACTAAAACATAAATTAAAGCCCTACAAACACAATATAAACTAAACGAAAGGGCAAATGCAGTGGCATACATACAGGGGTTGCAGTTGTGATCAGGCCCGGCACTCCAGGGGGCCACCTGTGGACCCCTATCCCCTGCAGTAGTGATGTGTGTCTCAGTCTGTGTTAAATTAATGGTAACTTACATTGGTATGCTGGGGCCAGGCCCCATTCGAATGCTGCCGCAGTGCACACCTGCCTGCTCTTAACTGGGGGTGGGGCATGTGGTGCCTCGTGGCGGCAAATAGGAAAACCTCCACAAGAAGGGACAGAGTGCGCGACTCTGCGTGGGTCCAGATCATTGTCTCCCCTCTCTGGCCCAACAAGGTAAGCCAAAGGGAGGAGGCAACATATAAATGTATTGACAGTATTGTATTATTATTGTTATGGTATTGTAACTTCCTTACCCTTGCCATAGTCCTCATGTGTGCTGCTGGCCTGCTCCATCCCCCCTCTGTGCAAGCCCCTTTCCCTACTTTGCAATCATCTACACATCTATGCAGCCCCTTCGCCCCTGCCCCTTTCCCCCTTGTGTGCAGCCCCTGAGCTTTCCCCCCTTTGTGTGCAATCCCTTCCCCCTTCTATCAGAGACACAAGTAGGAATGCAGTGAATGCGAGCTTTGAAGTACTAGTGGTGATATGTTTCCACTCCTTTCTGTAATATATCCCTGGGGTTCAGTGGGGCTTCTCTAAAACTGCTATGTTTTCAGCTGCAGGGTTAAAACTAGAGGGACCTGGCACCCAGACCACTTCATTGAGCTGATGTGATCTGGGTGTCTGTAGTGGTCCTTTAAGTGTATGTGTATCTGCATGCACTGGCGTACATATCGCGCTGCAACCCCTGCGACCAGGTGCCCGCCGCCATGTGTTGCGGCCCCAGCCCACGCAGAGAAAGTGCGTGGGGGGGGCCCACGGATCAGTTTTCGCACCGGGGCCCCATGGGTTGTGTGTACGCCACTGTTGTGATATATTACAGAAAGGAGTGGAAACATATCACCTCTAGTACTTCAAAGCTCGCATTCACTGCATTCCTACTTGTGTCTCTGATAGAATGATGCCAATATCAGTTGTATGGCTGGGCATAGTAGGTGTTTCTGACCACATTTGCTGGTGATTTATGTTTTATGTTGCTACCTATGTTATTTACAACTACCTTACAGTCAATTAGGAAACTATGTATTTAACAGGGTTATTCACTAACATGAGACTTGTTGAATTCAAAATGTATTTCTAATTAAAGCCCATACCTGACTTGGCGAAATGTTTCAGTTCAGCTTTTGTGGCATTAAATTTGAAATTCACTTTGAATTCCTGACAGTTCTCACTAACTCTGTTGGCGTATTAAATCAGAATTGCAACATTTAGGCAGAAGTAGCAGCTTAGGAAAAAATCTCCAACTTGGATCTAGTCACATGCTTATTCCATCTTCAATTTGCAATTGGCATTTAATGCACTAAAATGTAGAGTTTAATGAATAAGTCGTTGAGGCTGCACTCTGGCCATAGCTATGTATGTAACTCGGCTGACAAAATTGGTACCTATAATGACCGAGTATAATGAGTTGTAGTAGACAGTGTCATTGTATGCATCTGTGCATGTGTGTCAGTATTAGTGTGTGTATTTGTACACAGTGGTGGAACTACCACAGTCGCTCCCCCGTCGACCCCTGCTGATGCACACGGCCAGACTGGCACAGGAAATCCCAGTAGGCTTGCATAACTTCAGGGCTGGTGCACAGCTGCACCGCAGCCGATGAGCAGTCGCCAGGTGACCGACAGGAGGGGACCACACGGCACAATGCTCCCCTCTTGCTAGTCACTGCATGTAGATTGGCCAATTAGACCATTGTCTGACAGGAAGTGCTCACTGAGAGCAACAAGCACTTCCTTTTAGACCGCGTACATCAGTCTGTTTGGCCATGCTACAAAGAGGTGGAGGGGAGGGTGGAGAGACACATGGAGGAGCTGGGGACATGTATTCAGAGATGCAGTTTATGGTGGAATTATAAGAATAATTAGCATGTAATGTTAGGTTAATTTTTTTAAATTTATTTTTTACTTTATTTTTTTACAGAAAACTATTTTTTCCAAGTGTAATCCTATCAACATAAGAATGGTCCTCAGAAACATAAACAGAAAAGGGAAGAGAATTTGAGAACTGGGAAACTTCCAAAATTAAGCAGCTACTTTTCCACTCTAACAACTGCTAGTGTTCCTCCTGTACAGAGTAACACTGAAAGTGAAATGTCTGTGGAAAGTGCTGATGATGTCAGAGGTGGAAATCAGCGAGTGCACTTAATCACATTCTTTAGATATAGCGGGCGATGATAACCCTGATGAAGGCAGTAGCACAAGTCTACCAACTAAAGAAATAGTGCAATCAACAGGAAGCACCAAATTAGGTGATTATTTTGAATTGTTGAAATCTACAGAGGCTTCCATTAGTGCCGTAGAAAGTATTGTTGTGGGAGAGAAACATGTAGCTGATGGGGGACATTACCCTATCACAATAATGGATTCAAATATAAAGAGATTTATAATAGGTCATGGCCCATGCCGACCTCCAGGACTTTTCCACGAGATCAAGAAAGAAGGTTCTTTTCTGAAAGCTATTATGAACGAATTACAAAAACAGGCCTTAAGATCCCTGTGATGTGGCTATGCTACTCACCTAAACTGAATGTAGCATATTGTGAACCATGCTGGCTGTTTGGGGACCGTAAAAAGGCAGGATTTGAACCTGCATGGGCAAAAGGAATCCAGAAATGGCAAAGGCTTTCTGACAGAATTAAGGTTCATGAGTCCCAAACTCATATAGAAGCCTGTGTAGTATATGAACAGTGGAGGAAGAACAAAACAATTTATGAGGAAAATGAAAAGCAAATTAGACAGGAAAAAAACTATTGGAGACAAGTATTACATAGAATTGTTAATGTAACATACTGGGGTCATGGCTGCGACCGGTCCCGGCCCACCAGGGGGGCCGGCCGCCCTGCAACCCGGTATGTATGCCAGTGTGGCCAGCCTCTTATCCTGGGGGTCCCTGGGGTCCAGTGGGGCTGGCCCTGCTGTCACCCGGCGGGCAGGCTGGCGGGCGCACGAGGGAGCACTGTCCCCTGAGTGCTCCCTATTCAGCTCCCTCACGCACTGCACTGATACTGGAGCCGGAAGATGACATCTTCCAGCTCCGGCATCAGTACGCGGCGTGCGAGGGAGCTGAAGAGGAAGCACTCAGGGGACAGTGCTCCCTCGTGCGCCCACCAGCCAGCCTGCAGGACCGGCCGCTGGGCAGCCCCACTGGACCCCAGGGAATCCCCTCAGCAATCCCAAAGGTAGGGAGGCTGGGGGATGCAATTTAAAAAAATAAAAGTGTGTGTGTTAGTTTGTGTGCAACAGTAACAGACACACATGTTTTCTGCAAACAAAAAGGCTTGTATGTACATTGTGCAGCTCACAATCTGAACCTGGTACTTCAGGATGCTGTTGGGAACATACCAGAAATTTCTAGTTTTTTTTTTTGTTTTTTTTAGTGGTGCAGGAATTGTATATTTTTTGGGGGAAAGCATACACAGATGGAACATTCTTTCATCATTCTCTACGGAGTCTGCACTTACATTGAAAAAACTTTGCTGCACTCAGTGGTCATCTCGCCATGATTCACGCTTTCGTTTTGTAGACATTATACAAGCTTTAACAAAAATAAACTTGATGTCACCCAAGCCTAAAGAAAGAGATAATTCTGCTCCCCTTAGAACAAAAATAGGATATTTTTAATTTGTTTGTCTCGTCCTGCAAAGCAAGATTTTGGACACCATAAATGTGGTCTCTAAATTGTTGCAGTCAGAAAAATCGGGATTTATCCAGTGCAGCACAGTCTGATACAAAAGGCAGCTCAAGCCCTTTCAAAATATAGGGATAATTTTGATGCAGCAAAACAAACAGTGGTAGAACTGGAAGAAAAGTGGGGCATCCAGACTAAGTTTGAAAATAAGAGAGTAAGAAAAGTGAAGCGTCACTTTGAACTTTCAATAAATGAAAGGTTTCAGGATCTTGAACAATGCTTTAAAACCACTGTTTTATAGGTGTTTAGACATTGGGACCAATAAGCTGTCTAACCGATTTGCTTGAATGTCATGCAGAGATTTAATATAATTCAGCCTACAGTCCTTGCCTCTGAAATTGATGATGATTTGTTCAAAGCTGCTTCACAGCTACAGGAATGCTACCCAGAGGACATATCACCAGCTTTCCCAGAACAGCTTCTGAGCTTCCGTTCAACGTTTCAGGAACAGATTCGGAGATGCTCCACTGTAAAGGACCTTTCTCACCTCCTATTTGTTGAAAACTGTGCCTTGTCAACCAATCTACAAGATAGCATAGCGTTGCTACTGTTCCTCACCATTCCAGTTGCAGTTAATAAAAAATTACTTGATAAGCGCCATGTCACAACAGTGACTTTCTGGCCTAGCTCTGTTAAGTATTGAAAATGAGAGAGCTAGAAAACTTAACATTGATACCATTGTGGACAACTTTGCTGAAAGGAAAGCACGACAGTGTCCATTTTAATGGGATTCGTAAGTTTTCAGTTGTGCCTTTCGTTTGGCTTGCAGTTCTGAGTTTATACTAACTTTTGTTGCATGGTTTTAAATTGTTGTACTAACCAAGTGATTTAACAGTTTATTCTTTCTTTCTTGCTGTATCGTTACTAAAAAGTGCTAATGCATGGTTGTTCTTTAGTTACTCTCTGTATATATGTCTTCTCGTTGTGTCGTGATTTTATTATTGAAAATTTTAATTAAAGAAGAATTGAACGTTACGGAGTTGGAAGGCATCACGTTTGAATGAACCAAGTTGGAAGTTACCATTGTTTGTCTTTAATCCTGTTTCATGAATAAGATTCCTCGTTATGGAAGATATGAGTAAGTTTCTTCTGTTTTGTGGCTGAACTAGATAGGAGTTGTTTAATATATACTGTGATATGCAATATTTAGAACAAAGTGGTAAGTTATTGCTGTTTCTTATTTCTGCAGGTTCAAAATTCATCCATCTTGCACTAGCAAATAAAATATTGTTTTGAACCAGTGGAGAATTTCAGTAAGTTGAAAGTTAATTTTTTTTTTTTCTTGGTCCAGTTGTACAATAATTGTCATGGTAGAGGCAAAGGCAAAAGGATGGTAAATAAAAATCAGTTTTTGCACCGGGGCCCCATGGATTGTGTGTACGCCACTAGCCAAATGCATTACTGTTTCATTTCATTCATTGAATAGACTCCGTGCCGCAAGGGAATTAACCCCTACAGCATGGAGAAGCAGTGCGCATGCGCGGGGAAAAAACGAGGGAGACGGCTGCTACCAGCTCCCTCCTTGTAATAAATAACTTTTCCTACCCTCCCCTCCCCCACAGTAATAACCTGACCCCCATATTGATAAAAGGGAGGTTTAATTCCTCCTGCGTGCCCCTACTCGCATCATGCCACAAGTAGGGGCATGTCGCCTAAACAAATTTAAAATTACTGGCACATCTCCTCCCATTACCCCAAGGTGGGGAACACAAATACCTAAAATGAGAGGGGACATAGTGCCCCACTGGTCCCTACCTATGAGCGACGGGTGGGGACCCTAAATAAATAAATAATGGGGGACCTAATGTCCCCACCCATGACCGATGGGTGGGGACTACAAATAATAAAGTGACTAGTGATACCCTAGTAATTCTCCCCCCCCACCCCCACCCACCGCCGCAATAAAAAATATCCTACCTACTCCGCTCACCCTAATAATAGTGGGGGGTGGGCAATAAACTAAACCCCAAAAAAGCCAAATAAAAATCCATTACATGTGTCGCAACTGTATATAAAACAAAAAAAAAAAACAGAGCACCAAAAAATAAATTACAAAAAAAAATAATCCAGACGGTAAAAAAATAATACATCTTCAGCCATGGAGGGCACAGCGCAGAATGAGCTCCGTAGGGCGGGGAAGGACTTATGAAGCCTTCACACACCCTGAAATTGGGTTCAGAATGCTCTGATCTGGTTGGTGTGAGTCATTTTACACAGCGGGGGAAAGTTCTTTAGTATTTTCCCATGCTGTGTAATTTGACTCATAACCCTCTGATTGGTAGCTTTTCAAATTGATCAGTGTTATGAGCCAAATTACACCGCATGGGAAAATTCCAAACAACTTTCCCACACTGTGTAAAATGACACAGAGCATTCTGATTGGTTGGATTCCAAGCCAACCAATCAGTGCTGTGATGGGTAAATGTACAGACTTATCTGTCAGTCTCTTCATTTACCAACCAATCAGAATGCTCTGAGCCTAATTGCAGGGCGTGAGAAGGCTTTCCTCATCCTATGGAGCTCATTCTGCTCTGTGCCCTCCATGGGTGAAGATGTATAAATTTTTTGCCGTCTGGTTTGTTTGTTTTTTGTTGTGTTTGGTTTTGTTTTGTTTTTGTTTTTTGTTTTTTTTTCTTTCTACAGTTGCTGTGTATTTTATGGATTTTTATTTGGCCTTTTTTGGGGCTGAAGAAAGAAAAGAAAATATTTCAAATGGTAAGTATGAAATTTTATTAAACAGGGTTAGTTTACTGCCCCCCCCTCACTATTATTAGGGTGAAGGGGGGGTAGGTAGGGTATTTTTATTGTGAGGGGGAGTGACTAGGGGCTTGGGGACTCCTTGGCACTTTATTTGTGGTCCCCACCCGCCGTTCATGGGAATTATTTTTTAACAAATTTTGTTCGAAAACAAATGGTTTGCGTATGAAATTCGGGATTGATTAATTACATTTTTATTTAGTACGAAATCATTTGTACGAAACGAAAATTTCACTGGTGCACAAATTTCACTGGTGTCTGTGTTTGAGTCAGTGTATGTGTGTCTGTTTGCTTGTGAGTCAGTGTATATGTATCAGTGTCTGTGTTTGTGTCAGTGTATGTGTGTCTATGGGTCAGTATATGTTTGGGATTGTGTCTGTGTTTGTTTATGGGTCAGTGTATGTGTGTCAGTATGTCTGTGTTTGTTTATGGGTCTGTGGTTGTTTATGGATTTGTGTATGTGTGTTGGGTCATTGAATGTGTTAATGTGTGGATTGGTCAATATGTCTCAGTGTGTGTGTGTGTGTCTGTGTTTTTGTCAATGTGTGTATGGGTCACTTTATGTGTCTGTGTTGTTTCGGTGTTAAGGTTTGACTTTATTTACAGAATATTTGAGGGGCATATTATTTACAGAATATTTGAGGGGCATATCACTTTATGTGTCTGTGTTGTTTCGGTGTTAAGGTTTGACCTTAACACCGAAACAACACAGACACATAAAGTGACCCATACACACATTGACAACATTGAGAAACTGCTATGTTTATATTAGGGTTAATCCAGCCTCCAGTGGCTGTCTCATTGACAGCCGCTAGAGGCGCTTGCGTGCTTCTCACTGTGATTTTCACAGTGAGAAGACGCCAGCGTCCATAGGAAAGCATTGTGAATGCATTCCAATGAGACTGGCTGGCTGAATGCGCGTGCGGCTTTTGCCGAGCATGCACATTCAGCCGAGGAGGAGGAGAGCTCCCCGCCCAGCACTGGAGAAAGAGGTAAGTTTAACCCCTTCCTCCCCCTAGAGCCCGGCGGGAGGGGGACCCTGAGGGTGGGGGCACCCTCAGGGCACTATAGTGCCAGGAAAACAAGTGTTTTCCTGGCACTATAGTGGTCCTTTAATTAATCAGATGCAACCATTTAATCGTCTTATCACTAAGTTTTGCCATGCATGTGCACTAGCCTTTTAATGATTTCCTAAGGGAAAGCATTTGGTTGACTGAGATCCTCAAGATTCATGACTTCAACCAAGGAGGCAGAGTGGGCTGTGGAGAGAACACTGCGTGGAGTATGTGAGTAGTGAACAGGCCCCAATAGCGTTGGAAATCCATGTTTGTATTCTGGAATTCACTATAAAGTATATACTATGCAAAAAAAAAAAAAATTGCTTAAAGGAACACTCCACTGCCCAAATACAATATAAATCACAATTTACTATATATACCCCAAATGAAACTTGCATGCATTTTTTCATTGGGGGTATATCTAAAAACAGCTTGCATAAACTGCAGATCTCTTGTCTGCTGACTTTGCAAGCCCTTCTCTTCTAACCTAGACCAGACTTTATGTGACTGTTCAATCACAGTCTTCCCAGTGCAGCTCAATAAGAGGTCTTTGCAAGGCAGATGCTCTGAGCAATTGCTGCCCGTTGAGTTCAGTGCAACTAACTAACTAACAAACCAAACGAGGAAGTAACAGTACATACTGTCTGCTTGAAAAGCCAGGGGGGGTCTAACCAAGTTAATTTCTATTGACATCTGCATTTTTTCCAAAATGAAAAAATAGGACACACTTTTTACACATAAAGCTTTTCAGCAAGCTAAAGTGCGTTAGGAGTCTGGAATGTCCCTTTAAAGATTTATTCACTAAAAAGTGAGCTGTGCTGAAGTTTAAAATGAGTGGGGCAGTTCAGGCTATGATAGCCATATCTATCTATTGCTAAGTTGGATATTTATTTTGTAAAATAGCTGTTTGGTCTTATATTTTTCGATAGGGATCTTCAGTTCAATAAAAAATAAATCCCTTTGGCTAAACTCTCTTTGATTTGGTTTAGGCTAACATATCCAACTATTAGAGAATCACAGCATTCAGACATGGAATATGATGATATACATACAACACTTGTCCATCCGGTGAGGATTGTTCTACTATCTCAAAAAATAACTTCAATTAAGTAATTATTAAATTAAAGACAACCAAATCACACATTATGCAACCATGGATATTTGCCTGGCACCCAACTGTGGAAGAGAAGCATGCCATCAATTCTGCTGTAGAAGATCAGAGAATTAGATCTCTTAATCAGTCCAGCCTTAAAACATGAGAAGTTTTCATGAAATAGCAATAGAAAGTTTATATAATAAATCCATGGTTTTGAAACTACTTCACATACAGAAGATGTGTGTGTGATATGTGTTAGCTTTAATTTATGCAATATTTAATATTCATGTTTAAACATGATCCCAAACAATTACAAGTAAAGTTGTAATTTTCAATAAGTTAAGCGATGCAAAAGCAACATCTAAAATAGCTCTGGTCTACCTTTCATTCACTTCCAAATAGTGCTGACAACAAGACTCTCTAGATTTTTGTCTCCACTTGACCTACTCTTGACCTGAGTGGATAAATGAAGCAAATATACAGATTTTTATCTGGAAATGCTTCAAAATATATTTTTAAAAGCTGTGCATACCAAGTAACTGTGACTGCTTGTACTAGATTGTCAAAAGCTGGGACTGCAAATCAAGTAATGGGCAAGATTTTATAATAGGAAAAAAACCCAACAAACAATAATGATGAAAAGAATATTTAAATAAGTAGATGAGTAGATGGATTATTGGGAGGGGCTGGGGTTGACTCAGCGTTCATGGTCCATGTTGGTACCAATGACAAAGTATGAGGAAGATTGAAGGTCCTAAAGAATGATTTCAGGGAATTAGGTAGCAAACTTAAGAAAAGGACCTCCAAGGTGGTATTCTCTGAGATATTACCTGTGCCAAGCGCTACAGTGGAAAGTCAGCGGGGGATTAGAGAGGTCAATGTGTGGCTGAAGTCTTGGTGCAGGAAGGAGGGTTTTGAGTTTTTAGAGCACTGGGCTGACTTTGTGCTTAGGTACAACCTTTATAGCAGTGATGGGTTGCACCTAAACAGGAGAGGGTCTGCAGGGCTGGGGGATAGGATGGCTAGAAGGTTGGAGGAGATTTTAAACTAGTAGTAGGGGGGGAGGAGGGTCATAGCAATCTACAAAATGAAGATAGGACAGAAAGGAGATGGGCTTTAGCTCAGTGTAAGGGGGATGGAGACGGGAGGACGGGCAAACTCAGAACAGAGAAGGTATGTAATTTTGATCATTTACAAAAAGTACAAGTGATTCATGATAATATTAAATGTATGCTTACTAATGCAAGGAGCCTAAATAACATAATGGGGGAACTAGAGGCAATAGAATACACTAAACAATATGACATAATAGGACATAAAAGGAATAACTGAAACATGGTGGGATGAGTCACATGACTGGACAGTTAACTTAAATAGGAACACACTATTTAGGAAGGACAGGAAAGGTGGTGGGGTATGTTTGTATGTCAACTATGAGTTAAAGCCAAATCTTAAGCAAGTGGAATGTGGTGAGCAAGATGTGGAAGCTTTATGGGTAAATATCTGCTTCGGGGAAAAGAAGGGAAATCAACTATTGTTTGGGATATGTTATAAGCCACCTAATGTTAATATTGACGAGGAACAACAGCAGTTTGAGCAAATTGAGAAAGCTGCAAATCTGGGTAACACTTTAATTATTGGAGATTTTAATTACCCGGACATAAATTGGGACAGAGGGACTAGTAGCTCAGCAAAGGGAATTGGGTTTTTAAACTTGTTTAATGACACCTTCATGTCACAACTTGTACAAGCACCAACTAGAAAGGATGCTTGTCTGGACCTGGTTTTAACAAACAATGTTGATCTTTTGACCAACACTCAAGTAGGTGAGCACTTGGAATATAGTGTCCTTTGAAATAAACTCAAAAAAACAAAATCAGATGGGGTATACTAAAACATATAATTTTAAAAAGGCCAATTTCTATAAGTTAATGGCAGCTTGACAATATATTGACTGGCATAAACTATTTAGTAAAAAGAACACTGAGGATAAATGGAACATCTTCCAACAAATATTAGAAAGGTGCATTTCTCAGTATGTACCATTGGGTAATAAATATAAAAGAAACACATTGAAACCAATGTGGCTTAGAAGAGAAGTAAAACAAGAGATTAAAAATAAGAAAATGTCATTTAAAGTATTTATTTAAATCAGACAAATCAGAGGCAACCTATAAAAGATATAACAAAGCCAATAAGGTACAAAACAGCAATTCGATTTGCTAAATGAAAAAATGATAGCCAAAGAGAGCAAAACCAACCCCAAAGCAATTTTTAAGTACATAAATTAAAAGAAAAAAACAGGAAAAGGCCGGAATTTTAAATAACTATTTCTCCTCTGCATATGTTAAGGAAGAACCCATGGCAATAGATGTGCAAATGATTGCTGCTAAAAACTTGCAGAACAATTGTAATTGGTTAACTCAAGACAAGTTGCTGCAGCAACTAAAGAAAGTTTAATATAAACAAAGCTCCAGGGCCTGACAGTATTCATCCACAAGTACTTAAGGAACTAAGTGTAGAAATAAGTGAACCTGTTTTTAATCTTTCAATATTCTTTTCTTTCAGGAAGTGTTCCGGAGAATTGGAGGAAGGCAGATGTGGTTCCTATATTCAAAATATTTTTTCCTAGTTTGTTGCAAAATTGGAAGTGCTTCAAACAGGGTTTTTTGTTTTTGTTTTTGTGTTTTTTTTTACTTCTTTTGGATCAACAGCAAAAAACAAATGTGAGGAAGGCTGAACTTGATGAACGCAAGTCTCTTTTCAGCTCTGTAACTAAGTAAAAACGTACTATAGATTGTAAAAAAAATAATATTCACAATAAAATGCATCTTGCATGACTTGAATAATCTTAAGCTAACTCCTATGGAAGCCACCAGCTGTTACTAAGGCCCTGTAGTTATTGAAACTGAACTAGATGTGTATACAACAAATTAAATCCAAGAAGAAGAAGGAAAGTAGGAAAAATAAAAATAGTAGGGTATGTTTAAGGACATCTGGAGCAGGAAATTAAAATAAAAGCACTGACAAAAAAGTATTTTTTTAAATGTTAAAACATTAAGTATGATAGGTTAAGACGAGGTATAATATTTGAATCCCATTTAAAATAATGTTTCTACTTTATCAAACACTTACCCATGGTAAGCTATTCTATGGATGTCAGTCCCTTGCACTGAAGTCACGTCTAGAACCGCTTTTGCCAAAGATAACAGAGTAACAGAGAAAGGCTCTGTTCAATTATACAACATGAGACTTGAGAGTGAGAGTGGGTCACAATGTGATATCATTGACTTGGGTGGTCTGAGTACTCTTAATCTGCACAAACAGTTTAAAGAATAGCTTAATTTACACATAGTACTCTGTCAAAATCCAATTTTAAAACACAGAACAAGAAATAAAGTTTTATAAGCATATAAAAATACAGATGTAATCCTTTACTGTGACCCTCATAGTTACCCTCACAGTCAAACTCTCTAGGTTCTAAACTTTCAGGGAGTGTGGGTAAGACATACGTTGAGTCTTCTGGAATTGAGTTTATGTGGACATCAATAGATATTATTATACTAAGGCAATTCTTAAAAAGGATTGTACTGGTTTATTTGCTGTCTTAATAGTGCTACAGCTCTCATTCCATCACTCCTGGCCCACAGTGGCCCCAGAAGCATTTTAGTCACAAAGAAAAACTATTTACCATAAAAATGGTACCTCTGCTGTAAGAAATAATTCTCTAAATCCACATTTCTTCTCTCCAGTGAAGAAAGTTTTGTGTAGGGAAAAGGAAGAAATATATCTAGACTTTTTAGATCTTTTCTTTTCATGGATTTCTTCTGAACATCTACTTGTTGGATGCTTGCCCATTAGAACTGATGAATACTCTAAAATACTGAGAAAGAATTCAAGCCTTGTTGTCTTACTCTTTTAACGATTGGAGGCTTAATCTTCTAGCTCATAACATTTTAACTTTTATGAGATTCCCTCACATGAAGATATTTTTGTATTCAAACATTAACATGCAAAGCTGGAACCCAGTGCACTTGAAGAACATGATGAAAAACAAAATAAGGATACTGGAATCAAAAACAGGCCCCTAAACACTTTAATATTATCTTTGGGAAATGTTATATTAAATAATTTTGTTATAGAGAAAGGCCATTTCTTTCCTCAAAGAATTGTAACCATCTAGCCAACTATCCAAACTTATTCCAAGATTTAATTACCCCACACACACTCACACACATGTACGTAGAGTTCCTATCATTCAAAGAGGGTGTACCTTGTTTTTTCCCATGACTATATATTTTGAATTAGCCTATTAGTCCAGTAGACAAGATGCCACGATATCAGAGTATTGCTGAATACAGTATTATTGTTTTTATTTGACTAACATAATACTAAAAAGACATGCTTTTAAAAGTTTTCCTCTCTTCCTCATCAGACCTGAGGAAGAGAGGAAAACTCTCGAAAGCTTGTCTTTTAAGTATCATGTAAGTCCAATAAATAAATGTTATATCATGACACGGAATATGTGTAATATGTCATGTGTTCATCTGAGTTTGTATTTACCTAATTTTAAGAATTTTGGAGTTACGTTCAGACATATTGCAGATAAACTTGTGTTTTATCTTGCAAAGCACCACCCATGGTATTGTTCTGAAGGCGCTCCCATGTCTAGTATTTGTATGTGTGGGGAAATGACCTCACAGATATATTTCAACCCGTGAAGCATGACTTAACATGGCAAGTAATTCATAGCACATTGTCTGCTCAGCATTTGTGCCAAGAATGGTGTGGAAAAGAGGGAAGTAGTGGAAATAATTAAAAAAGGACAGAAATACAATTGAATAAGACCAGTGAGAAATGTATGAAAGAAATAAAGAATAAAATGTTGCTTGCATAACAAGAGCTGTAAATTGTAACAGAGAAGTTATATAAATCTGAAAAATATAATAGAACAAATGTATTAATAAGGGGTTGATGCATCAAATAATCTGGCCAAATATGAACAGTTAAGTGTTGTTTGCATGTATAGGTAATAGGTCTTCTTTCATGGGTGCTATGACATAATAAGTGCAACAAATAGTGATGTCCCGAACGGTTCGCTGAACGGTTCGCCACAGACGGCGAACATATGCGCTGTTCGGTCCGCCCCCTATGTCATCACTGAGTAAACTTTGACCCTGTACCTCACAGTCAGCAGACACATTCCAGCCAATCAGCAGCAGACCCTCCCTCCCAGACCCTCCCACCTCCTGGACAGCATCCATTTTACATTCATTGTGAAGCTGCATTCTTAGTGAGCTGTCCAGGAGGTGGGAGGGTCTGGGAGGGAGGGTCTGCTGCTGATTGGCTGGAATGTGTCTGCTGACTGTGAGGTACAGGGTCAAAGTTTACTCAATGATGACATAGGGGTCGGACCGAACAGCGCATATGTTCGCCGTCCGTGGCGAACCGTTCGGGACATCACTAGCAACAAAATATCTGCTATTAGAGGGGATTCTGTCATGCACACAATCACTCTTCAGATGTAGAACCTTAAGGAATTACTTGTAATTTGTGAATGAATGAGATACCACAGCACTGTGAATGTGAAGATTACCACAACTCAGAACTGCAACAATGTTAAAATGTACCAAATGTTTGGCTACTTGAAACAAATTAATTTATATGTGAATAAAGTAAATTTAAAAATAAGTGTATAAATACATTTTAGTAAATAACACTTTATTGTGTTCATTTAACATTTCACATATAGTGTCATCTAAAGGGACAGTCTCAGTACCCAAATCATTTAATCTTAAAGGGACGTCCCCACTGGAGGTGTGGCTAAGGCAGAGATTACATGTTTCTCTCGAGCCATACCAGTTCATACTTGAATGGGCACTGTGATAAGCTGATAGGTTCTGATAAGCTCACAGTTAACTCATTAGAAAAGTTTTCTATGAGTATTTAATTATTTAAAAAGCTTGTTAAATTGAAGCCAATGTCTAGAGGGTTTGAGCAATTTGTTCCAACCTGTGGTCTTGTTGCTCCAATTGGAACTAAAAATGAGCTAACTGCTTATCTTGGTATAGACATTGAAAGTCATGCTTCAGTGTTTGCGGATGACACAAAACTCTGTAAAGTAATACAATATGAGCAAGATATTGCTTTGCTGCAGAGAGATTTAAATACTGTAGATTAGGGGACTGGGTACTCAAAAGGAAAACTTAATTTAGATTTAAATCTAAATTGTTGATAAATGCAAAGTTATGCACTTCAGGGTAAAGAATACACAAGCAATTTACACCCTAAATGGCAGTGAATTAGGGATAACAACAAATGAGAAGGATTTGGAATAGCCTTCCAGCGGAAGTAGAAGAGATTAACACAGTAATGGAGTTCAAGCATGCGTGGGATAGGCATAAGGCTATCCTAACTATAAGATAAGGCCAGTGACTAATAAAAGTATTTAGAAAATTGAGCAGACTAGATGGGCCAAATGGTTTTTATCTGCCATCAAATTCTATGTTTCTGTTTGGGAATTATTGTAGATATTACTTTGCTGCAGAGGGATTTAGATGGACTGGGCACTCAAATGGCAGATTAAATTTAATGTTGAAAAATGCAAAATTATGCACTTCGGCATAAAGAATGCACAAGCAACGTATACCCTTAATGGAAGCGAATTAGAGATAACACACGAAAAGGACTTGGGAATTATTGTAGGTAACAAACTAGGCAACATTGTGCAATGTCAATCAGCTGTGACTAAAGCCAGTAAGGTATCGTCATGTATAAATAGGGGCATTAAATCTCAGGATGAAAATATAATTTGGCCTCTTTATTAATCAATAATAAGACCACACCTTGAATATGCTGTGCAATTTTGGGCACCTGTTCTAAAGAAGAATATTATGGTACCAGAAAAAAAGTTCAGAGAACGGATACAACATTTATAAAAGGAATGGAGCATTTTAGTTATGAAGAAAGATAAATTGAAATATGTTTAGTTTAGAAAAATGGTGCCCAGAGGGGATATGATAGCATTATACAAATACTGTATATTTGGGACCAATGCAAACCATTGTCTGGAAATCTATTCATAAACAGGACTACACATGGGACACAATTTCACACATTTAGACTGGAAGAAATAAGATGTAGTCTAATGTATTTTTTTTTATTATTTTTTTTTACAGTAAGAATAATAAAGATGTGGAGATTTCTGCCTGAAGAGGTGGTTCTATCAGAGTCTATACAGATATTTAAATAGCAACTGAATGAATACTTGCAAAAACATAATATTCAGAGATAGAATTTTTAATTTGCGGGGTAACAGCTTCTTGATCCAAGTAGAGATCTGACTGCAATTCGGAGGTCAAAATAGAGAAAATTTATGACAAACTTACCGTAATTTTCTTTTCCTGGCTATTTCTCATGGCAGCATCACTTATGGGGTAGCTCCTCCCTTAGCAGTCACAGGACAGGAATTAATTAGATTAATTAATCAGACTGATAGGTATAAGGAGTCCCTCCTCCCCCTACACCTCAGTCCAATTATAAAGCTGAAATAAAGAATGGGCGGGAACCCTGATGCTGCCATGAGAAATAGCCAGGAAAAGAAAATTACGGTAAGTTTGTCATAAATTTTCTCTATTCCTGGCTAATCATGGCAGCATCACTTATGGGTAATACCCAAGCTTCACAGAAAAATTGGGTGGGAATAATAATCCAAGAAATTACACAAAACTGAAACTCATGCAGCAAAGAAAAGTTTAATATCAACGGGATAAAGAGACCGTAGAGAGGACACTCTTTCCAAAGGAGGTGGAAGGAGACTCCACATCAAGTTTGTAGTGCTTCATGAATGTCATCGGAGAAGACCAGGTGGCTGCTCTGCAAATATCATCGTATGGAACCTCTGCCCAGCTAGCCCATGAAGTTGATAATGCTCTAGTAGAATGAGTTCTTATCTCCCGAGGTGGTGATATACCTTTAGAGATATACGCCTTCTTAATTATCAGAGAAATCCAACGTTTCAACATAGATAAAGAAGCCGCCTCACCTCTCCTTGCTCTCATCGGCAAAACGAAGAGTTGGTCCATTTTACGTAAAGACTCAGAACGTTTAAGATATGCAGACAAGCAGTTTATGACATCCAAACGTTGCCATCTAACCTCCTCCTGAGAAGAGGGGTTGGGGTAAAATGATGGAAGAACCACTTCTTGAGAGAGGTGAAACTGAGAAACTACCTTAGGAAGAAACTCTGGTTTTACTTTCAGACACACCCTATCTTGGTAGAACCGTAAACAAGAAGAAGATGTAGAAAATGCTTTAATTTCTGAAATCCTTCTTGCGGAAGTAATTGCCACCAAAAACAAAGTTTTATACGTCAGGAGAGTAGCATCCAAACTTTCAAGAGGAACAAACAGATCCTCAGTGAGATAATTGAGCACCATAGGAAGGTCCCAAGGAGGGGTAGTAGATCTGGAAGGAGGCCTCAACCTGAAGGCCCCTTTGAAGAACCTGGAAATCAAAGGATCTGAAGCCCATGAGATGTCGCACAAAGCTGAAAGTGCCGAAGACTGAACCTTCAAGGTGCTGAGGCTAAGGCCCTTGTCCAGGCCCTCTTGCAGAAACTCCAAAACTTCAGTATTGCTAGGATGCAGAAAATCCACATTATGAGACGATGCCCAAGTTTGGAACACATCCCAGATCCTATGGTAGCATGAAGAAGTGGAAGCCTTCCTGGAGAGCAGAAGGGTATTGATCACTGCCTCCGAGAGACCTAGTAATTGGAGTCTTTCTCTCTCAAGACCCATACCCCAAGTTTGAGGCGTTCCAGATGAGGATGGAATACAGGGCCCTGCATTAGCAGATCCTCCATCACTGGAAGAGGCCAAGGTTGTTCCTGGC